GGACCGCTCTGGTGGCCTAGTGGTTAAAGCTGCTGCCTCACTTGGCGCTCAGAATTAAGAGGTTAGTTTTAGGACTGGTCGGCTTTATGTCAGGATAATGTGACTGGGTGGTACATCATATCTACGGCATGATGCCCCAGTGCTTAGACGTCACTATAAACTGCCACATTGCTGACATCGTAGAGATATGATTGAAAAATTGTTAAAGTTACATTAAAAATACAAATCACACACATACACAGTCCAATGGAAACTATGTAATTTCATCTAAAAATCCAAACAAATATTCTCATCTAAAAATAAACATTAAAACACACTTCCAGACTGAAGATCATAAGAAATAAAAATCCATAATATGAATGAATTAACTGCTCAGTTCTCTCCTTATTTACATGCCCAATAGCCTATTATGAATATGTGTGGCAAATTAGGCCATATCACAGACCTTACTACTCATATCTAATACTTATAGGTTACTGCATTTGTATGGGAAAATATGAACGAGTGTTTTGGATGGCTATACTTCACATTCTTAAGAGTGCAGTATATCCATCCGAATAAATGAGTTTGTAATTTTCCATTCAAATGCAGTAACCTTTTTATTATATGCTCATTTTTGTTTCATTACAAAAGAATTAATAATACAATTCACAACCAAATATTTAATAATAAAATGTATTATTATTAGAATAATAAATTTCATAATTGAAGATCCCTTCAATGCACAATAATAGTATTCATGCGCATATAGCTCCTTCCAGCGACCTTTTAACTTCATAGCGTAAGTGCATCAAGCAAGAGGAGTGAAATATGAAGGTGTTCAATATCGGGGAATATTGAACAATTCTGACAATGTAAAGTTAATGGAGAAAAAACTGAGCATATTCATAATACCTACTCAAGTGCTCACACGTGACTTTAATTAGCCAACTATAAATAACTCCAAATATTTAAATGTTTATTATTAGAAAGCTTACAACATTGATTATAGCTTCTATGAAATTTGCAGGCACTGTTAATATCTTCAAATAAAATTTATACATGTGTGCAAAAATAGATATGTAATATATCCTTAATCACTATGTAAAGGACCAAATTTTTAGGTCGATCTTCGTTTTGTATTGTTAATGTCAGTAGAACACATTAGTTAGACACATGTACTATTAACCAGATTTATGTGGAAATGGCCGCATTTAGAGAGTCATAATGTATGGATTGGTTCAGCTAAAGTCAGGAGTTATCGGTACATAATTCAGGACTTTGTTTAAACTGACCGGGAAGGGTTAAAAATCTGATCAGTACGGAAATCTAATTTCTGAAAGTTTCCATGAAATCATTTAGATAATCGAGGTTTGCCATACAAACTACATTGTTTCAACTGTTACCTTACAAAGGCTCGTACTCGGTAACAAAGAAAAGAGTGAAAGACAACAAGTTTTGTAAATTTTAACAAAACAATTTATTTCCCTAGACAACAATGTAAAAATTGGTAAATAGGACTTATAGTTGGTGAATATAATCAAAATATGAATCTAAGAATACAATCACAAGTTTTATCACTAAATAGTCCTATAGGAATCCAGGTTCTAGTCCCGACGACGTACTAATATGGAGAGCGATGAAGTCAGATGTAGTCCAATGGACGAATAACAATAATTCCTCACTTGAATCAGTCTTTGTTTCCGAACAATTCCAGAATTAATTTCCTTGAATATCTTTCAGAATTTTTTTATAAAAATGTCAACTTGTTGAGTGTCCAGGAGAATAAATTATTGAATCCAAATATCAGACGTAGAATAAAACATTCTGACAACAAATAAAAAAAATTACACAAAATTTGTACCTTCAAGGTTTTGAATGACCCTGCCTGAAAAATATTAGAATTCGTATTTAGTTCTCTGAAACTCTTTTTCAAGTCTCGCGAGATTGGTCATGCGGTTTCTTACTACACTAGATTTGTCACTTCGTCCAATATAGACCGACTAAAAAAAACAATCATAAAAAGGTTGTTTACAAACAATGATCATGTGAAGAAAGTATGTCTGTGACGCTGACCAATCATTATATCTTCATGTTGATTTGTTACCAAGGTAAGACTGACTCAATGGTAATTCGCACGTATTACGATTTTTTCTTAAGTAACCAGCTTTGCGCTAAAAAAATATCTCTACTAAAAACAAAATCTCGAATCAGAAAAAAATTCATTGGAATTAAATACAAAGAAACAAAAATGAAATAAAAGGAATTTTAAACCTTACACAGAAGCAATTTAGTCACATATAAGTAACACAACATTCTTTGGGCGGGAAGTGTATTTCATTCCGATTGGTTACGCTGTAAAGGGGGCGTGGTTTCATACGGAAAACTCTTCAGTTTAAATGTTCAAATAGAACATTTAAAAATTATTCTATTCTTTTTCCTACAACATGATAGTACAAAGATAGGCCCCGAACTGAATTTAGAAGAAATTCGGTCGTAGAAAATCATCCAGGGAAAGGAATTGTCTGGGAAAATTGACAGACACGTTCTGGAAGTAAGAACTTGGAAAAACAATGTATTTTCAACAATCTTATGTAATCCATTAATATTACTATGATAATTTGTATGATTTATATCAATTTATTTGCATGAATTTATTTGTTAAGTTCGTAGATTTAATTTCATGATATGGTATACACGTGTTGAGTTTGTTTATCAGAGTCCGTACAATGATATTTTTCTTTATACAAACATTGACAACTTGTTGAACTTACAGTTCGTTTTTAGTGGAAATTATGTATCTAGAATCTTTTGCTGTATTTTAGTTGAAATGCGAGAATCCGTATGAATTCTCCGACCCATATATGAGTTCACGTATGATAACCACTCGAGTGTTGTTATAAACACAGTAACAAGGAATTTCATTCATTTGTATAATTGAGACTTTCCTGGAACTAATATCTTGGTAGGGGTGTTAGAATAGTCATTTAGTTGACCATTAATTTTGGGAAACGAGGTTGTTTATGTCTGTCGGAGCCAGTTAGACTAGATAGCCGTAGAATCTGTTTGAACTTAAGTTATAATTGATCTCACTTAACGAGAGGGGGGAGGTATTGATATATTCCTCAGCATAATGTGACGGAAGAGTTATTTTGTATAGTGTCATTGTTTTGAAAGGATGGGATAGCTCGAAGTTCTACGATCTGCGATCTACACTCTAAGTATTACATCTTACGAACCCAAAGTGGACACAAAGTTAAACTGAACAAAAAGGACGGGGCACCTGTAAATTTTGGAAAAGAAAGTCAAAAGTGAAGGAGACCTGGACTTACCAGCACAAGGGAGTCAACGGAAAAATTAACAGTGGAATCCAGACTGAATCAAAACCGTCTGTTTACGAAAACTGTACAAAGCAATGACTTCCGTATATTCCACTTGATCTAAATGATGATTTAAATTCGATCACGTAGACTATCATTGGTATCATTATTTCTTGTATTCGAAAAATCGTGCAAGAAGTTAAGGCAAAAGAAAGAAGTGTATCTTTCTATCGCATTGTATTATTATTACTTTTGTTATGAACTGCATCGTTAGAAATTTGGATCAAAATTTTGTCTTTATTTGTAACGGGGGGCTCGTTTTATTCTGTTCTATATATCTGCTAATTAAGCTCCTTATCTATTCCACCCGACATTTTCTCAATTTCTATTAATATTTACTCGTCCCGGGTAAATTACACCTCTAGACAACGATAACCAAACCCATAACATCCACCACAACAAAGCTTGGAGGGGTGTACCACCACACACTACAATTCGCACTTGTTACGATTCATGGTCTTAAACTAAGTAGCAGAAAAGAAAACGAAAAAAAAAACATGTTTTGTTAAATTCAACAAATAATTAGTTTCGCAAAGAATACAAAGTTAAAATTTAAACAATATTTTTTTTATAAAAAAACCTCAGTATTGTGAATTAAATCTCAAAAAGTCCAAAAGTTATATCACAAATCCTAATGAATAAAGTTTTAATATTAATTTCTAGTGATGGTACCCCAACACATCCTTCAATTCTGAATGAGCTGTTGTGTCTGTAGATGTCTTTGACATTGTACATAGTACCAACAGACTTTCGATAAATCACAATAATATAATACAAGATAAATTATTTGAATTCACTATAATTCCAAGTTAATGTTACAGTCCAAGAATATTATAGCTGAGCACATTTTATATACAGTGAATAATAGTTTGAATAAATCATTCCACCTAAAAGAAATACTGAGCACAAAAATAAGACTGATTTTGACTAAGATGTCAGATGCAGGAAGTAGTAACTTCTCAAGTAAACAAGATTATAAACCCCTCTATTTGACCTAGGTAAAAAGCTGTCAACATGAAAACGAGTATAACTAAAACTAAAATAAAGAATGTGGTAAACATCAGGCAGATCAGTTGTTTTATGGAAGAATTCCAATATCCCAGAGTCTAGACTAAATCAACATGTTTACCTCTGTTAATAATGATCTGAATATCTAATCCATATTCACAGACAAATATTAACTATATATTATGTTGTTTACGAGCTAAATGAACTTGATTTTGGAAAAGGTAAAGTGCTTACTACTAGTATGCATAACATTTAATAATGGGGAAAAAAATAACAAACAATACAAATTAAATATACATCACACCTCCATTCATAAAGAGAACGAACAATTTATACAATACATACTATGACGACATAGACGAGAACACATAATTAAAAAAAGAATATTCTTTTGTATAATAACACGTATGTGTGATTTTGATTTTAACGTAGCTTTAATAACAATTTTTCAGTCATATCCTACGATGTCTGCAGAATGGCAGTTTACATTGATGTCTAATACTGGGGCATCATGTAGCATGATGTCCCGCCCAGTCACATTATCCTGACACCAGGCCGACCAGTCCTAACACTAACCTCTTAATGCTGAGCGCCAAGCCTGGCAGCTGTTAGTATCATTTAATAAGTCTTTGGTATTACATGGCCGGGGATTGAACCCACGACCTCCCGCATCCGAGGCGGGCGGACGTTCTAACCACTAGGCCACCGGAGCGGTTCGATAACAAATTAGAGAAACTATAATGATTTGATAAAAACCAGAGACTTGTGTTTATATTTTTTTCATAAATCATTGTTCTCACAATCTGATTAAATTTTACTATCAGTACCCAGATCTAGAAACCAGATTTTACTGGATGAAGTAAAAGCCCTTGAGTAACCATGGACTGACACCCAGTAGTACAAACATAGTTTATGCATCAAATAATTTACCCGATTAGCCACTACAGCTGAGGCTTTACATTAAAAGTATGTAAGATGCAGTCCACTTTTCTAGTTGCTACATTATTCTTATGCATATCACACACAATTAGCTCGCCTAGCTGAGGCAGTTGAGTTTACAATACTGATCTTAGTCTGCCAAGAAATTGTGAATCGTGTGCCCTGTGTCCGTTCGTCAATAATTTCTTGTTATCATTCTGAAGTTCATTTTTCTGATCCGAATGTAATCAAACTTGCTAAATGGGTGTATATTATCAGTTCGATAATGAGCGAGATCTATGCATCTTAATGATGTGATCTTAGATCTAATTGGCTAACCTTGCTACTACCATGGAGACCGTATTTTTCATCTCAATTTGATCAAATTCAGAATATATTAATATATCATTAAGCCCTCTGAAGATTTCAATACTGAGCGAAATCCACAATATTAATGCTCTGATCTTCATCTACTTGTCCGAACTTATTACCCTTATGGAGTTCGTATATTTTTCATTCAGTGCTGACAACACTTGGAATATATACAGTACTTACATTATGAAGTTCTCAGTTGAGTTCCATAATGAACAAGATTCAAGATTCCTAATTAGGTAATCATGCGTCCTGAGTTTGTTACTCTTCTGAAAACCAATTTTTTAAACCTGATTTTGATGAAACTCGAGTACGGACTTGTATCATCAAAATCTTGAATAGGTTTGATAATGAACATGTTCCATGGTCCATGCATATAAATAAGGTTATCTCGCATCTGTTTGGCTGAGCTTAGGACCATTATCGAAGATTATTTCCGATCAAATTATTATCAAATATGGAGTTGATAAAGAACAAGATCCAAGCATATTAATGAAGTGATTTTGCATTCGATTGGCTAAACTTCTTACCATCCTTAGAGGTCTTAATTCTCATAGTTATGCAATATCAAGCCAACTTGGACCTCTTGCTCACCTGTTAAAGATAACGTATCATATATACAATGTATATCGTCATTAATATGTAACGTTTACCACTGAACAAACAGATGCATCCCCACTTCCAATGTACTTGTCAGGAAGGGCCTTCGGATTGTACCATGATGTATTTATCAAAACAAAATCTAGGTCGATATGAGATGAACACAAAGTCTTAACCATATTTGTAAGCAAAAAATGCTGGTCACAGTGAGTTTCTGGGATTGTAAGAGTATAATACTTTAAAAAAAAAAACACCTTAAGTTGTCAAGTTTCACGTCTGAAACATAACCAACGAAATGTATGAACTTTAAAAACAAAATGTCAACAAACTCACTGCAAATGAATATCTACAGGATTAATATATAAGAACCTTAGCTAGCGAAGATGCTCTCATGTTGGCTTTGCATGCATGATCTGCGCAAGCACATATAGTCTCGTTGATCTGTTTTGATCATCACTGCTACCATATCCATTCACATATATGTTAACCTCCTGAACGTAGGGTTTTCCTCCCGATGTACGGGTGCGTTCCTTCCCTCTTGTCACTCAATTAAATCTCCCGTTTACACATAATTATTTCAGATTTGTATCTTTATCCCCCTGCCCAGTTGCTTCCATCGAGAATATTTAGGGTAATACTGCCTGTGATCACGTGGCTATGAAATGGTTTAAGCACGGCAGGTCGAGTTTAGTTGCATCATGCAGCATAAAACAATTAGCATTTAATTTGGTTGGTCTGCGTGGTTGAAGTATGTCGACATGCATTATATGAAAGTTTTGAAGTAATTTCGAAATGATTTAACACAATAATTGATCATGCTGGATTACTAAAGAGGTCAATTAGCATAAACCATGGTTGGTCTGGCACCAATGTTTTTAAGTTTGCCTTGATGTTAGCGTGCGTTATCTCCAATGTTTAAGTCAAAATATAAAGATACATCGCAAGAAAAATTCATTAATGGACGGAAACATAAATTCTAGTGTTTGTTATCAAATTCAAAGGATATGAATATGCATTCTGCTCTTTCTTTAAACCGATTTCAAAATCTGTTACAGTCGCAAAAATGACATTATATGTCGTGCAGCATATTAAACAAGACAAGAAATACGCTATCATGAAGTCCATGTTCGCAGGAGCTGCATCAAATGTGGATAAATATATACATGTTGAAACACTGTCAGCTTTATAACTTAACATAATCTTCTGTTTAAGGAAGGAAATTATTTTGTCAGATCTGATAAATACTGTTTCCTAAATCGGAAATCGCACAGAAGTTCCCATGCAAACAGACGAACAATAGATGAAGATTGCTCACAATGTGACCCAAGCTTTGCAGCCTCATTGAGATAAGAAAGTCGAAGATATGCCGCAATGAAAATTTGCCGTTCTCATTCAAATTTCACCCTCTTTTGAAGTTAAAACTCCGAATAAAATTGTGCATAAAGCCCGATTTGTCATATGATGATTTCTCTGTTATGTCACATATATGCACACACACACACACCCACACACAAACACACACACACACACACACACACACACACACACAAACACACTGTACATTCATTCATACATGTTTATTTTTTTGTGTTTGATAGGGAGGGAGGGATCCAAAATTTACCATTATGAGTTATGCACAGAATTCATTACCAAAACTAAACGTGGAACCAAATAGCAACCAGTATATTCCAAAAATAACCGAAACTATACTTTTTATTTAAAAAATCGAAACGATTTGAAACTCACCCTCACCTCTTTTCCGTTAGGCTTACGGAAAAGTTGTAAACTGTTATAGTGGTCACTCATCTTACGACTGCCTCATTAGCAATACAAGTGCATCATTGACCTTTAATTACGACAGGATTCAAATTGTAAGATAGCTCTTTGCTGAATATATCTGGCTAATTAAAATATCCCCTGATCGCCACGATAACTTCCAACTGTTACTTATATCACATGAGTCATTTCTGCGCACCTAAGGTTTTCTTTCCCAATATTGAAGCAAAAAAAGAAAGAAAAAAAGCAAAACAAACAAATTCGACAAATTCAAGAAAAGAAAATACTACAATGCTTACAATTTGAAAACAGGTAATTGCCACCAAAATATTCCGTTCAAAATAATATTAATTTTGGACACACGGGATACTTCCATTGTGTTTTCATGACTCGATATATGTCGGTCTATTCTGCGCACATCTTTGAAAAGATGTAATGTTTATTCATCGGGTTTTTAAATGAAGTCATTACTTTGGACTGTTTTTGTCACCAGTTCCATCGAAAATTAGGTCATGGTTATGGCTAGTTTTACAAAATTCATCGTAACATGGACAATAAATGGCAAGAGATATTAAGCAAACAAAACCAATCTTAAAAAATAGTATAGTTCAACGTTTTATAAAAACAAATAAGCTTTAATGTGGAAGAGAAACAACAACGAATAGGATGTATTGTGTTGACAACGTCTTGTTTATGGGGGGAAATTACTAAAGAATTTAGAAACAGACTATGCGTTGAAGAATTTCTTGAGAATCCCGTTCTAGCAGTAAGCCAACACTTTGGGTAGCTGACGATTTTGAACGTGTGAAACAACTGCTTGCAAAATTAGAAACTTGGATTAAGATGCAGATGCTACCTGCTGCTAGAACGGGATTCTCAAGAAATTCTTCAACGCATAGTCTGTTTCTACATTTCTACCATAATTGCGTATGAACATGTGATTTCTAATCTCAATATGAAATCCCACTCCATGACCGTCTTGAACTTGTAATCAAGAAAATCACATTTATTATGTATATTTTAGAATCATAAATAAATTTAAATAAAAGATGGAAATGTATACTTTAAAACAATAATGCATTTTAATCCAAGTTTCCAATTTTGCAAGAAGTTGTCCCACACATAGTTTATCTTCTGGTAAAAAACATGTTAACTTACCGCTAGAACTGGATTTAAAAAAAAAAAATGTTAACCACTGGAAGCAAATCTTTCGTCCGGTTAGCAAACTGGACTTCAACGGTCTCGCCCGTATAATCTCCAGTCATGATATACCTACTACCAACCAAGGCCGGATAACTACACCCAGTATCATAAAGAAAAGTTTCCCTCTCACCATTTACCGCAGGTACCGCAGTGTTGGACAACTCCACTGTTCTCGGTTCCTTAACAGTAGCCGTACTTACCGAATTAATCATTCCTCAGTCCTTAACGACATGGTCTGGTTTATTTCAGCCGTGACACACCAGCTCGCCTTTCCTCACTGTGGTAATCTTCTTCACCCCCCTGAGTCTTCCCCGAACTACGGAACTGTTCTCGGCTGAGATTTCCGGCCCCTGGTCATCACCATTCTGACCATTCCGTCTTTGAGGTGCCACCTCAGTGGTCTTTCTATCTTCACTGATACCATGTTGCTCCCTGCCATCCCCGGTGGTCGGATGTGAGTGCGCACTCTCAGCACTCAGCCATCACACCTATATCATCCAAAGTCGAGAATGAAGAAAACGATTAAATCTTTCTGGTACGTACTTAAGACGTGCTCCTTCAAAATTGCATCATATATACCTTCATACGTTAATGTGGTACCAGCCATTTTCATCCATTGAACAAAAATTACGCGTACGCGGTTATGGAATTGCGCATGCGTTTCGGTAGCTCTTTTCGTCGATCCTCTTAAGAGTTTCCGGAACGTTTCCGCCGACAGCTCATAGTGCCGTAGTAGCGCTTTCTTTAATGTGTCGTAGTCATCTACTTCATCCGGCGTCATGCTCTGGTATACGTCTTTCACAGCCCCCTGTAAGAATACCAAAACTTTTATAGCACAGTCTTTGGGTAGCTGATGAATTAATGCCAACTTCTCAAACTGAGACAAAAAGTTGTCAATGATCTCGCCTCTGTTGTTGAACATGGGCATGGTGATCTGTATAGGCCGTCTGTCCTCAGATCACCGACCTGTGGGTCCTGAACGTTTGTTTAAGTCTTCACCATTTCTGGACTCTGCTTCGATCCTCAGCTTCTCCATGGCTAATATATGTTCACGTTCTCTAATTTTTCTTCGGCCTGCAATCTGGCTAGTTCGAGCTATGGTTCCCGCTTTCATTCAGTGGTCTGTCTGTCTTTCTCTCGTTCCTCTGCCTGTCTGTCTTTCTCATGTTCAAGCTCAGCTGATAGTTCTTTTTGTTCTCTAACACTATGTTCGACAAATTCAGCTAACTGAGCCCCTCGTACCAAAGTTCACCTTTTTAAATCGACCGGAATTCCCTAATCAACTGTCTGTCGCCATTTCGTCTCTAGTATCGTGACACAACAATTACGTTCCTTACCCTCAAGGTTCCCGAACCTACTCTAGATAGCACACACGTATGACCTTTTTTCAATTAAACCAGAGTATTCCTTACAAAAACAATTAGTAAGGGCGGTACACAGCAGGAATGTCTTCCCAAATTAGCGTGACACTCTAACGCTGAACAAGGTGAGATTTATTTCTACGGAGTTTGGTCTAAATCACTCTTCTCCCAAGGGAATTCAAAAGTACTTTTACTTTCGTTATTTCCAAATTCTAATATGACCCCATCATCAAGGAAAATTGCACCAATCTCTTACAAGATTTTCATTACACATAAAAATATGGCAAGAAAATTGCATGCACAGACAGATTTCTTACTCGTAAATGTTTTGATCCCCCGAAAGAGTACCCCACCCACTTGTGGAAAACGCCTCCTCAACTTATTTATGGCGGGTTTACTGGTTTTGGTTATCGTTATCTAGAGGTGATCGCCGATGGTGTAATTTGCCCGGAACAAGTAAATGTCAATGCAAAGTATGTGGAGTAAATAAGGATCAGAGCTGATATACAGAACAGAACAGCACGAGCCCCCGTTACAAATAAAGAAAAATTTAATCAACTTTTAAAACAATAAAATTTCACAAACAACTGATGTGAACATTACAATTTGAAAAATACACTTCTTTCTTTTTGAATTAACTTACTCAAGGTATTTCAAAATACAATTAAGTTTAGATATAGCCGATCAGTTAACAATAATATAATCAAAGGATCATTTAAACGAGTGTGAGATCGAATAACACTGGAAGACCCAGACTTACCAATATAAGGGAGTGAAGAGAAACGGTCTGAGTGGACTTTGGATGGAATCGAACACCAGGCTATGAATCGATACAAGGCAGTCCACTCTTTTCTTCCCCTTTCCAAATTCTCTGGTATCTCGCCTCTTTGGCCCTTCCAACTTTATGTAGTCCTTTTCTGTGTTGTAAATCGTGAGTCTTCCCTTAAGCTATCTCACCTTGTGTTTTCAAGCTTTATAGTCTGTCATTTTCCAGACAATCCTTTCTCCTTGGATGATTTTAAGAGAAATTTACTTATTAAATTTTCGGAGTTCTTTAAGTTCATTTGTTAGTTTCCTCTTGCAAAAAACCGTAGACTAAATTTTTAGATGCTAAATGCAGAATTTAAACTAATAGTTTTCGTGTAAAACCACGCCACCTTCCACAGCGTGTCCAATCGGAATGACACAAAATTCCCGCTTCACTAGCAGCTAAACACTGCAATTCTTCTGACATCAATGGTTACCCAACTGTTTCTGGTGACATTCAGAAATGTCAGCTTCCATACAAACCAAAAGATGAACTCAGTCATGGTAAGTTTAAACAAATGTAGCCCTTGATTAAATATCGATATCTCTTGACAAGCCTGAAACAATCCGTACATTATGGCTATTTAAACGCGATCAGGTCTCCAAAAAACTAAATTAATCGTACGTGTGTATAAATGTTTCCTACATAAATCAACACCACAAAACAGAGATAGACCTAAAAAAAAATGATCCTTCACAATTAGGTTATAAACTTATTACTCGACCGAAATGCTGACATAAACAGTGCAAAGTAATGTATTTCATTTCCATACATCTTTTCAAAGCTGTGGGCAGAATGGGCCGACATCTGGCTAGTCACGAAAACCAGCGTGTCCAAAATTAATATTATTTTGAAAAGAATATCCCTGTGACAAATGCCTCTTTTCAAATGGTAAGCATTTAAATATTTTTTTTTTTTTTGTCAATCGGTCGAATTCGGTATACGTTTTGCTTCAGTATTGGTGACGAAAACCTTAGGTGCGCACAAATATCCAACAGTATTGCACACAATTTTCAAAGCTTAGACAGCCGAGTAAACACATTTCATGATGTATGTGTTAAAGCCTGATAGAAGGCAAAACACCGACCATGTGGAATATCATACTGGAACTAGAGAATGAATTATCGAATTATACCTTAGCTCTGAGTTTAAGGATTCATGATGCTTCGACGCTGTTATTTACAAAACATTATGCTAAATATATTTTAAACTTCTAAAATGTTAGTGGTGTGGGGAGATTACAGTATTACTGGAAGTGGACTCTGCTCATGCCAAGCTATTTTATATGTCTCACCCAGTTCCATTGTCCTGACACCAGGCCGACCACTCCTAACACTAACCTCTTAATGCTGAGAGCCAAGTGAGGCGGCAGCTAGTATCCCTTTTATATGTCTTTTATATGACTCGGGCCGTTTACGAATCCGCGACCTCCCGCATCAGAGGCAGTCGCTCTGACCACTTTGGCAATCTGTTTAACATCAGACTGATCACTTTGGTAACCGGAGCGTTATAAAAGCATAGGAAACAAGAGAATATCAAATACGGAAATTCCTTTACATACCAAGTCAATATTCTCTGACATATATCTTGCTTTTTCGACTGCTCCAGTGGCCTAGTGGTTAGAACGTCGGCCTCGGATGCCGGAGGTCGCTGGTTCGGTTTTAGAAAATGGTACTAACAGCTGCCTCGCTTGGCGCTCAGCATTAAGAGGTTAGTGTTAGGACTGGTCGGCCTGGTGTCAGGATAATGTGACTGGGCGGGACATCATGCTACATGATGTCCCAGTACTAGACATCACTGTAAACTGTCACACTGCAGACATCATAGCGATATGGCTAAAACATTGTTAAAGCTAGATTCAAAATCCAAATCTCTCTCTCTCTCTCTCTCTCTCTCTCTCTCTCTCTCTCTCTCTCTCTCTCTCTCTCTCTCTCTCTCTCTCTCTCTCTCTCTCTCTCTCTCTCTCTCTCTCTCTCTCACACACACACACACACACACACACACACACACACACCTAACTCTTTCGAGTTCAGTAATTAAATCTCTGTTGGAACATCATTACAACCATTCAGTTGCCTTCAAATGTATTCTCAACTGGGGCTGTTTTGTTGTTGGGGAAGAAGCGTTATTTTGATGTACACATTTAGTTTTATTCCCTCAAAAGAGAAATACCGATATATGAAATAACAACATTATGTTAGTTGAGACTACTCCAATACTTGTCCATTACAACATGCTGAAGGACATATCATGGCTTTTCTGAATCCGCTAGTTTAGAGGTGACGCTCAGAGATTTTTCTTACCTTTAAATGGATCTTGACTCTTATTGTATTCTGCAAGCATATATGTGGCGGTTGTCAAGCTACCATTGCCTTCCACGAGGCAAGCATTTGCCTCATAGTCTAAGCATTTCATTGGACGGCAAAAGGAAATGAAAAATGTACAATCCTTTACTTGAGTTAAGTTTCCTAGACAGCCATTGTCTTCTGTGGGCGACACCTCAAATGTCCAATTACTGAAATCATAAGCAAGTCAAGGCTTAAAAGATACGATCTGAACAGTATTGCAAACAGAACAAGACCTCACCATGCCATTTTCACTGATACAATTGTCATCTCATACGTCTCAATTTCTTACCATAGTATATTTCAACGCATCTTCGCTAGCCGAGGTTCTGATATGATAATCATATCTACAGTGTTATTACATCGAAATTTTGGCTACCAAAGATGATTGCAACGTGTTATAACGATCTTCAATTTTTTTATTTTAAAATCTCGCCTACAGTAACTAACACTATTACTTTATATTACTCAGCAGTCTGATTATACACTGAGCTGTATTTTTAAACGGTGATAATTTAAATACTGAATAGTAATAAATGAAGAAAAAATGTTTTGTTCAGTTCTGGGATTTAACGCAATTGCTCAGCGCAAGATAGGCTATACAAGGCGACCAGTATATATGGAAGTAAAAGCACGGAAAACCTTGGTAAGAACCACCGACCCATGAGAAAATGATGGCAAGGTTTTTTTCACATTCCCACATTGGCCGAGCCGGAGATTCAAACCCACGCGGACAGAAGTAAGGCAGCATGGATCGGTAAATGTGAGCGCTTTAGACCACTCGGCCATCGCCCCTTCCTTCAAACAGAAATAAAGTTAATTTAAAATCCGTGATTCATTCATTCGAAAATACAAACCATTAACTACAATTCTTAATTTAAATACACTGTTTGAACCAATTTAATTATGCACAAACATATACTGGCTCGCCACACATATCGATTTTAATATAGTATGCAGATTTTGTTGTTTTTGTTGTTGTCATGGTTACAAATTAGACAGTTTCCTGTCTTTGAAACAGTTCCAATCATTTGAATATTATTGTTTTCAAAGCGTTATGTATATAAACGGTGGGGAGAAAATTAAATTTAATTGTTGGTTTGTTTTTGTTTTTGTTGATTTTCTGTATTTTGTGTTGTTGTTTGTTCACGTGTTTTCAAGGGCTTACATACATTAAGCAACTATAATATCAAAGACGAATCTTTGATGATTAATCATTACTTTCCGAAATCACCATGCCAATGTAGCAATAAATTTGTACTTTTCAATCAAGTCTAATGTTTCATAATTTTTTTATATCGGTAATAGATCTTTTAAATTTTTAACTCGTTTACGCGACACAATTGGAATTTGTCATCCGAACGCCTTTTTTCATAACAATTCCGAGGCAGTTCCGACAACCCCAAACAGCTGATTTTGCAACCGTGGGAGAACTAGAAGATAAAAACGCTGGAATGGCAACGAGGAATGAAACTGTCAACAAGGTCTGGTTGAGCTTGACTGCATTGAGCTAATCAAGCTTTATTCGGGTACATTACAACAATGCATCTGTCGACACCAAGGACAAAGGAGGTGGTAGCGGCGAAATCGCCGCATCTATCGCAGTTGTACGCGCATGAAAGTGAGCCCGTCCATTGAACGACTGTAGTTTGTGTTATGTACGTGTGAAAATATCGTTTAAGTCCAGTAATATGTATTCCGAGGGTTTTTAATAACTGATCAATCGCAAAGATACTTCAGACACTCATAACCGGTCAAATATCATTTAATTAGAATGCTGTCCACTATGCGCTCGAACAGTTTGAGCGCAACGAATACATGCCCTGAAACTCTGAAACCTTGTTGGGTTAATAATTTGCAAGGATAACTGCTGAACACTGCCTCATGTAAGTATTTTGCAGAAGCGAAATGACAGCTATGGGGTGCCTCCAGAAGTAAGACACAACAACAAATGTGTAACCGCTTCGGTGGCCTAGTGGTTAGCGTCCGCCTCGGATGTGGGAGGTCGTGGGTTCGATCCCCGGTCGAGTCATACCAAAGACTTACAAAAATGGTACTAACAGCTGCCTCGCTTGACACTCAGCATTAAGAGATTAGTGTTAGGACTGGTATGCCTGGTGTCAGGATAAAGTAACTTGATGGGACATCATTCTACATGTCTGCGGCATGATGCCCCAGTACTAGACATCTTTATAAACTGGCACATTGCAGACATCGTAGCGATATGACTGAAAAATTGTTAAATCCACGTCAAAAATCATAAATCACATCACATCGAAACAAACGTGTTTTTTTTTCAGCTACCGAAGGGATGACGCCAGGAATTTCTACAGCAACACAACTTTTCCAGTAACAACACCAGCAGCACTCCAAATGGCACCATTACTAATGGGCTTTCTTTACAATGTTACTGTGTGATTGACTCCGAAAATAGTACTGTGAACATATCTGCAAAGCTGCTCGAATATGTGACTGATAATTGATGGTTCACAAAGTTCTGTTAGACACGTCGCGTGTCCAAGGTTGTAATTATGATCTTAAAACATTCGCTCTTCAATACCATCTGCAACGGATAGAGGTGGGGTAAGGTACAGGTCTGCGCGGTTGACAGTCCATCGTGTTACAGATTGTATATGCTCAGTAATGTCGAATCGTTTCTTGTGAAACATCATAGACAGGCTGCAGATCTGGCATATTTATCCTTGTGGTTGGCCATTCAATTAAGTATCGTGGCAATATAAACGTTGCTCAAAGATGCTTCAATTTCCTTTTCATCCATAAAAAGTAAAGAGTGATTCTGAAAAAAAAAAACGTCACGATACAGTAGTACCATCTAGTACAGTAGTGCGATACAGTAGTACAATCTTAGTACCAAGGGTACAATTATTATCGTTTGCTTAAATTAGTCTTCCTTCGAGTTCTAGGAAGGCCTCACAAAGACGAAACACACTTCTACACCTATCAAAACTTCCAAGACGAAACACACACTTCTACACCTATTCAAACCGCTCGGGTAGCCTAGTGGTTAGAGCGTCCGCCTCGGATGCGTGGGTCGTGGGTTCTATCCCCGGTCGAGTCATACCAAAGAATTAACAAAACTAGTACTAACAGCTGCCTCGCTTGACGCTCAGCATTAAGAGGTTAGTGTTAGGACTGGTCGGCCTAGTGTCAGGATAATGTGACTGGGTGGGACATCATTCCAAATGTATGCGGCATGATGCACCAGTGCTAGACATCACTATAAACTGCCACACCGCAGACATCGTAGGGATATGACTGAAAGATTGTTAAAGCTACGTTAAAAATCTTAATCACATGACATCACACACCTATCCTAACTTTATGATCAGGATTATTCGTCGGGCTCGAATTATACTCAAAATCTATGTTGCTTCGATCTCTCATCAAAGGCGGGTAAGGATACTTGGAGAGAGGATACTTCTTAAAACTTTGCCATAGTTTACATATTATATGTTTCGTCTAATACCCTTTCCCCCCTCCACGCTTAGTAAACAAACATAACCAATCGAATGGTTTCGACATTTTAGATCAGTTCTGTTGATTATTTTACGGACTGACGCGGTCACTGTTTCTGTTGATGGAAGTGAAATCGCCATTGGTTCTACCCGCGATGCTCAAGTCACTTATTCTTGTAGGTGATCTCTAATCGATTGAACCGCTCAAAATACCCGATTATTAGTCGATCCACGAAAGCATTTCTAATGGCACCATCAACTCGCATCGCAACTTACTTAGCAATTCGTGATGCGTGCGAAGACAAGGCAACATTGACAATTAGTAGATAACATCACAAAGACATTTTCGTAATGTATCATGCAACCAGTGCGCCTTAACAACATTGTAGGATCTGGGAAAATAATTCACTGGGGTCCCCTACCGGCAGTACTAGTCATTAACAATATGGGCAACATGATGCCCTAAGAAGCGTGATGACCTGGGCACTTGCCTAGTGTGCCCATGCCTTAAGACTGCACTGCATGCAACTTGGTTTTTTCGAATTGTCTGGCGCGATGTAAGATCCATACCATCCAAGTCATCTTTTGTTCTCGAAAATGTTATTAGTGTCTTCAGGCCAAACCGATATTTGTTTTAATTGATGATAGCGTAATGTCAACCTAGTACGGGGGGGGGGGAAAGGCGAGTGGCCGAGTGGTCTAAAGTGCTCACCGTTATGGATCACTGCCATCTCACCTCTGTCTGCGTGGGCTCGGAAATGTGGGTATGTGGTGAGAAAGCTTGCCAGTAGCTTCTCGTGGGTCTGTGGATTTTTCCGGAATTTTCCCTGGTTCCTCCTCCATCATTAATAATGGTCGCCATGTATAACCTGTCTTG